AGATGCATTGTTTTTAGATAATTTAAAAACAATTTTAAAACTTACAAAAATGAGCCTGCATTGTATTATTTCCATGAGCTACTAGTTCTAAACAATGTCAGTAATATACTAAACAATGTTGTCTGCCAAAAAAAAAAAAAAAAAAATCTCAGCTAGGTCTAAACTCTAAATAAGTACTACAATTGCTACAGAGTTTTAATAACACATATGTAAGCTGTAAAGGATACCCTTTTTATCACCCATTCTTGAATAAACACTGTGTTCTATGTGGAATTTAATTTGGAGAACTCCAATTAAACAGTGGCCATAGGCACATGCTGATTCAGCTATAAGCATTCCTCGGCCCAACTCTCCATAGGAAGCATGCAAATCCACCCCGTGATACTATGTATTCCAATACATAATAGTTTATTTGGAATTTATTAAATGATAGCACATGAAGCAATATGAATTAGTCCAATTCTGTCAAATTGTGTGACCTCATGGAACTTTGAGTTTAAAATTTAAAATAGTCACAGTGTAAACTATATTCATAATATTAAAATATTTTGTTTTAATTGTTATTTTTTGTTTTATAGAAATGAATTAAAAATAATTATTATCACTGATTATTGCATGATTCTTATTGAACGTCATTTTATTGTATAGACTAGGAGATAAACATGTTAAAAAATAATTCACTCTAGGCATCTAAGACACTAGGTAAACCCCTAAACTGCCATTTTTAAAACTTCCCTCATTGTGTTTACCATCACCTGACATATTCTATATTTAGTTTATTGTTCATTTATTGTCTGTTTCCCCCTACTAGACTATAATCCCATGAGAACAGGTATTTTTGCCTTGTTTACTTTTGTAGCTCTACTGTCAGAAATAATGTTATAATGTTGGTGGTCAATAGATACTGAGGGAGGAAGGAAGAAAAGAAGAAGGAAGGGAGATACGAAAGAAAGGAAGGAATGAGAAAATATAGGTAGGTATCAGGTTATGTAGGGCTTCCTATGCCAGGCCAGATCCTTTATCTCTTAGGATACAAAGAGTTATTGAAAGATTTCAAGTAGAAGAGTGATATAATCAGATTTGGAAAAGGAGAATGGATTTGAAAAGACAAATCAGGAAGCCAAGAGAACCATTTGGAGGCTACTGCATTTGCACAGAAAATGAGAGGTAAAGGACATCAGAGATAGAGGGGAGAAAGGACATTTTAAAGAGTATTCACAGAATACAATTGCCAAGATATTGCATAGTAGTCCAGTATTGGTGATGTCTTCTCCTGAAATAGCAAACTCAGAAAGAGGAACAACATTGATATGGCGAAGTTTATGAAGAGATGTCCAAGATTTGAATGTATAAATCTGTTGCTCAAGACAGAGAGAAAAGCCAGGGCAGATACAGATTTTTTTTTTTAATTTCAGGAAATTATGGGATACAAACATTTTGGTTACACGTTATGACTTTGCCACATCCCAACCATGATTTGAGACGTGCCCTTTACCCCCGAGAATGCTCACCGTGTCCATTAGTTGTGAGTTTACCCACCCCCAACCCCCTTACCACCAAAGAATATTACTACTGTGTGAGCACCTTAATGCTGATCAGTCAGTGCCAGTTTGATGGCGAGTACATGTGGTGCCTATTCTTCCATTCTTGTGATACCTCACTTCGGAGGATGGGCTCAAGCTCTATCCAGGATAATATAAAAGGTGCTAGATCACCATTGTTTCTTATAATTGAGTAGTATCCCATTGTATACATATACCATATTTTATTAATCCACTCATGGATTGATAGGCACTTGGGTTGTTTCCACATCCTTGCTATAGTGAATTGTGCTGCCATAAACATTCAAGTGCGGATGTCTTTATTATAGAATGACTTTTGTTCCTTTGGGTAGATGCTTAATAGTGCTATTCCTGGATCAGCTGGTAGTTCTCCTTGTAGCTCTTTGAGGTATCTCCAAATTTTTAAATAATTTGCATGCAGTTGGTAATTGAAACCACAAGAATAAATGAGATTACCCTGAAACTCCATGGTGAGAAAGAAGATAAAAGGACAGAAGATAGAGTTTGATAGAAATGTTTGCATCCCAAGTTTGTTGTGCTTATGAAAACAACTTTTCTTCTACCTGTACTCTTACAACAGACTTAGGTTTTGAAAGAAATTTCTTCTTGTAGCAACTATAATCCTTCAGTACAGTCAGTGGAATGCCAGATAACATAAAAAAAATCATCTTTCTTCTATGTTCATGTTTCTTTCTTGTAACAAAATTTATAACAACTCCTTTCCATGCTCTTTCCATTCTTTTTAAAGCACAATTCTCGTATTTTGACAAGAGTTTTGCTTCTGTTCATTTTTGTATAGGTACTATACTTCAAATTTGCATGGTAACACACATTCTCAAAATATTTCCCTATTGCTATAACTGTTTCACCTACACCCCGTTTCTCTTTATAGTCAATCAACATGAAACTCAATAGGTGAAATAAAAGCACTGTAACATCTGCAATAGCTAAAGCAAAGAACAACATTGGCCTGACTATTCTACCTAACAAAAACATCATAATTATTAATAATATATATTAATTTTTAAGAAAGTATATAGGTGCATACATACTTACAATCTCTTAACACCATTTTGTTTATCTTTGTTGATATATCAAGCCCTTTTAACCATTTTAAACTTATGTCTCCCAAAAAAAGCCACAGTCGGAGGAAAGCAAAACTACTGAGTATTTCATAAATTTGTTGCAGCATCAAAATATAATCAATTGATGGTGTTCAATACAACAGGGATTAAGTCCTGGATATCTTTCACTGACTCTAGTGACTTTTTAAATAGTGGTTGTGATACTATTTCACCAGGGATAAAAGAATCTGTTTGGATGCAAAGAAGGAAAGATAGAACTTGACATCACCTCTTTAAGCAATTGATTTCAAATACAAAGCTAATTTAATCTTTTTTAGCCACTTTGAAGATACAAGAGAATGAGAGGCAGCTGTAAGTGAGAAAATGAATTAACAGGAAAATTTTGTGGTTGTAATTCTGGCTAAATCCTAGTGTCAGTTTTTATAATCCTTTTACAGTGACAAAATGCCTCTACCATGGGACAGTTCAAATGAGACTGATTAAACACTTCATATTGTCCCTACATACTGGGAAGATTCAAAAGCAAAGGAAAAAAATAAATATTTTAAAAAACAACAACAAAAACCACTATGTTTGGTCATGAATCCAGGGGAGACTTTCCCACTAGAAACTGGTCAGCAAATATATAAAAACACAAATTTAGTACTAATTTATATGATTTAGAAATGCTTATCCTGCATTTGAGTTCAAAAGAGATAAAGATGCTAACAACCATAATCTTCTACCAAAATTGGCGACACAGAATAATTCATAAACAGGGTTGACTCCATTTTAGGCTTCTTGTGAAAGTGCAATTAAGTGGCAAAGAGACTTTTTCTAGTCTACCAGCGTACAGAAAAATTAAGTTCATATTTTTTAAATTAGCTCAGAGATTCACTGATGCGTATAATTGAAAACAACATACAGTACTTATACATATGTTGTTAATAGATTATGTTTTTCCTAATTAATAAAGCTGTAGTAAAACGCTATTTAAAAAGATAGTCTAAATACATCTAGCAAAATAATATATAGGGAATTTTACTTCCAGAAAAATAAATTAGTAAAATACATGTAATCTCTTAAAATTCAGAGCAGTGAAACATCAATACAAAAAAATAATTATTTCTTGACAATTACATTATTTATGTTTAATATCCTCTCTAAAGGATCTTGCTAGTATATGATATTTTTGCCTGATGATTCAGGCAAATGTTTTATAATAATCATAGCTTATATATCAATATTTATGTCAATAAATATTTCAAAATATTTATATCAATGAAACAAATCATGGACAATTTTACATTATCTTAGGTTTACCATATTGTCACTTGACCAATATTGAAATTTACACATTTATTAACGTATGTTTACAGGTGCCAGAAAACCTAAGAAACTTCACAAATTTTATTCATAATTTGATTATTTTCTGTGATTATTAAATATGGTAAATTTATCGCTTACATGTAGTTCAGTAGCCATAACAAAATCAAATACTAAGTGTAGAAAAAGATATTCCAAATTGTTATATTTTATAATCCATGATCTTTGATAAGATATAGCACATGCAAGGAAAATAAAAATCAATTGAGTAATATTATTCACCTGCCACCCAAATTCTTTTTCATGTTTACATGAAATGTTTTAAGCAATATTCACTCCCTGCTTACAATAAGCTTTATTTTGTATGATGATGAAAATAACGTACATCCAGTATAGAGTTTCACTCATTTTAAATATACATTTTCATTTCAATGCATCAATCCTTATGGGAATAAAATAACTATGTTACTGAATCCTAGTTTACAATAATAGTGCTGAATAATATCAAATATTAATAAGGTATTAGATAGATAAATAGTACAGAAATGTATATTTAAATAGAACATTTCTAGTCGATGCTGACAAAATTATAATCAAATGCAAGACTTAAGGAATTGTAAAGTGAATATATGTGAGCAGGGCAACATGTCTATATAGACAACAAAATGAATAGTCCAATTTTCTGTGGAGGCAGGTTTTTCCCTATCTCTAATATCCATGATTTTCAAATATATCTCCATTAAAGGAAAGGTTCACAGGGATAAAACAATTCTTCATATGATTGGTTCCTATAACCAAAATATATTTTGTTAAGATTTGTCTTAAATTCATAGAACTAGACAGATAAATTTTTAAATAAATATTGCTTAAAGCCAACTGCAAAATTTAAAGTGAAAAATGTAATCAAAATTTGAGCATTTAGAAAAAGAACATTTAAAATACCATCTGTGAGCCTGAAGTTTCTATATGAATATGAACCAACAATATTCATAATTGTTTTACCCCATCATTTTTGACATCAAAAACATAAAATAAATGTAGGCATTACCTTAAACCACCAACATATTCTTGTTTTTCAAATATAGTGATGTCAGAGTAACCCAATCGAGCCAAAAAAGAAGCACAACTTATACTTGCAGGCCCGGCGCCAAAAAGTGCAATCTTTGCAGAATAGGCTTCAGACATTTTTTCTGGGGGAGGCAGAGAAGGATTTCTGATCTGTGGGGTATTCATTGCTTTGAACACCTACGGAGAAATCAATTGCCATGGTTAAAATTTTCAAACTAACTTTTATATCCTCAAACATATTTTAATGTTTCAAATCCATTAGTGTTTTGAATAGCAATGAGCACTACATTTTCAGTATTAATGTAACATACTTAGAAGTTGTATTGTGTCCAGTAAATGAGTATTCATGGCTGTCAATCTTTGAAATTCCTTTCTAGAGTCACACCTCCTCTAGGAAGCATACCTGACTCACCTTTCCTACTCCCACCTCAAGGGCAAGTGAGTGCTCCTCCTCTGAGTTCCTACAGCATAATTTGTATTTCTCTAACATAACCACTTGCCAACATCATCTGTGTGTCTGTTACGCTTCCATGTCAGTCAGTAGAACCTTAGTTCCTTGATTCAGAAAATACGTTATGTGTAAACACTTTACCAGCAGTTAGCATTACACTGGCACATAGGAGACATTTAGTAAATAATTTATTGATATTGGCTTCTGGTTTTGATACAATAGCTTTTGAAGGATAACATTTTAAAATCTAGGGTACTCAAGCAGATCACTAAGATCTCAGAAAGGAATGACAGAGAAGTGCGATAACTAGGAGTCACTTCTCCCCTGAGGGCCTTGCCATTTCTTAGCAAAGGGAAGAAGGCTAAGAATCTTGAAGAGGACCACAGCTCAGAAGAGAGATTCTGGTAACTTCTAGAACTGAAGAGACACAGAGTTTTGGGAATATAGGAGGCCAGTAACATGGAGTAATACAAAGTGAAGAAAAGTGAGCTTAATGCTTAAGCTGCATAGTAAAAAAAGCTAAGGATCTAAACAGAAAACATCTGTAAAGCAGAGAGGAGCTTCCTGCACTCTGATGGTCCAGAGGAAACAAAAACTGGAGGGTGGGAGAGGCTAGGAAAGGAAGAGTTCTAGTAAACACCCCAGCATACAGCTGAAACTTCTGGAGGACTAAATTCCGTAAGTGGGGTGAACCAGAAGTAAATAATCAACCCAGCCTTGAAACAAATCACCCTCAGATTTGAATGAAGGTGACTCTATCTATCTACCAAATGATAGGGTGAACTTTCTGTGAAGAATAATAAGTCAACCACAGTATCTACAAATTTGCATACAGAATGCCTGGGTTTTGATTGACAAGTCTAAGGCTGTAAGAAAAGGAAAAAAAAAAAGAAAAACTAAAAAAAATAGAGATGCATACATAATCCAGTAAGTGTAGTTATCGAATACAAATTTTAGAATAATTGTGATTACTGTGTTATACAAGAATGAAAACGTCATCAGGAAACTGGAAATTGTTAAAAAGAATAAAATTTTATAATAGAAAAAAGTGCAAAATTGAAATTAAAAATTAAATAAATGTATATAATAGCAGACTGGATGCTCAGCAATAAAGGATTAGTGAACTGAGAGATGGTCAGTAAAAACTACCTTGCCTGAAACATGGTCAAGAAACAGAAAATAAAATACTGAAAAGAACATAAGAACAAAAGGACAACATAAAGACATTTAATACATGCATAATTGGAGCCTTAAAAGGAGAGGAAAAAGAGAATGAGGCAGAAACAGTATTTGGAGAAATAGGTCAAAAGTTTCTTCAAACTAATGAAAGACATCAAAGGACAGATTCGAGAAGTTCTAAAACATTAAACAAGATAAATATAAGGAAAATCATACTTATGGACATCACAGTAAAATTGCTGAAAACCAAAACAAGAAAAGTAAGGCATAAAAACAACCAAAGAATGAAGACAGTAATTTCATTGAGCAACAATAAGGCTGATGGCTTTCTTCTCAAAAGGAATGATGGAAGACAGAAGACAATGAAATACTATTTTTCAAGCATTGAAAGAAAATACCTGTTCTACCTAGAATTCTATTCAGAAGGAAAATATCCTTCAAGTGGAATAAAGACATTTTCAGAGAGAGTTTGTTAGCAGCAACAAAATAAATACTAAAGAATACTAAAAAAGTTTCTTTAGGAAGAAGAAATTGTGTTTCCCAGATGGAAACACAGAAATGCAGAAAAGAGTAATGATCATTGAAAATTATAACCATGTGGGTAAATGTACATGAATATTGACTCTGTAAAGTAATAATGGCATGTGGAGTTGAAGAAAAGTGAAAACTAAAATGTATGATGCAAGACATGAGAGGTTAAACAGTTAACATATACTAGATCATAGCATTGTCAAGGAAGTGGTAAAAGCACTGATGTATGTATATTAGAGTACTATCAGTTAAGGATGCATCTTAAGGATGCATACCTATATAACAACTACTAAAACAATAGTAAAAGAATATATAACTAGCTAATTTGGGGGAGAGGAAGTGGAATTTAACAGTGTACTTTATTTATTCAAAAAGAATGAGAGAAAATTACTATAAATAGGTGAGGGGTTAGACAACCAAAAAAAAAATAGTAAGATGATGAATATAAATATAAATATGAGTAATTACATTAAATGTAAATGGACTAAAATTCCAATTAAAGGTCAAAAGCTATGAAAGATGTATACCTTAAATATAAGGACATAGAGATATATAAAGTTAAAGAGTGGAAAAAGTTATATAATCCAAACACTAAATAAAAGAGATCTGGTAATGTATAGCAATATCAAACACAGTAGACTTTAAGGAAAGATGTATTACTAAAGTTAAAGAACATTTCATAGTAATAAAAAAGGTCAATCTACCAACAATATTTTCTGATTTTAAATCTACAGGCACTAAATTTCAATTTTAAAAATATAAAGAGAAATTGACAGAACTCAAATAGAAAAAACACATCAAAACATTCTCACTGTTCTCCTCTCATCAAAATTTTACTATCAACAGAAGTGGCCTATCAATAAATTCACATTATAAATTATTTATAATATTTAATGGATTGCTGACAGACTTATTTGCATTTAATAGGTCAAAGCAGTACTTTTCTTCCCCTGTAGAAATCCAGGCAGAGATAGAGTGATATAGTTGTAACTTTTCTTGGGAGTGACAAATAAAGGAGACAGACCTTCATGTTTTTTGAACTCTTTCCAAATATACAACCAACTACTCTGAATAAAGTCTGCCATTCAAAATATATAAGGAATAGCCAAATGATCCCAGTTAAAAATTAAAGATGATATTTTTAGCAAGTATTACAAGGCCCAATTTCTCAGTCTGAGTTAAACGGCCATCATAAATGTTCCCATAACATTTGTCATTTTTATCCTAATACTTTATCAAGTTTCCTCCCGTAGACTGTAAGATTTTTAAGGACAGACATCATCTTTGAATTCATCTTTTAATTTCCTGTGTTTTTATATACAGTATGCTTATCTAATGAGAAGTTTAAATTTTATTAT